CTTGGTGTCCCAACTATACAAATTTAAGCTTGCTACTAGATTGGCAACTTGGTCCCACCGTTTTATTTCTGAAATAGGTAAATGCAACCATCACTTCTAAGCTACCAGTTTCTTTTCTTGCACTTTCCAGTCTCTCTCATTTCCTTGCTTCCCTGATGCTCATGATCACAAGTTCTATAACTTATTAAAGCCATAGGGGCAACACATGTACTACAACTGCAGCAGAAGTGACATGTCTTGGGTAAGATAGCCTCACGAAGCCCAACACTCTCCAGGCTGGTTTGAATTCAGAGTTTTCCTTCTAGCCACCCAAGGCTATAGGACCAAGTTTGTCCTGCTATTTACCCATAACTGCAGGGAGAAAAGATGGATTCATAGCTTTTCCAAGGGTATTAGCACATAAGTGAATGTAATGAACTTATGTGCTAATTCAAACTTAGCTCTCCAATTCTTCAATTGCAGACACAATCCTTTACTGCATCATGCCTCCTCCTGATAGTTCCCCCCTCCAATGCCCTAACTACATGAATTTAAACATAATACTAGATTGGCATCTAGGTCCCACCCTTTTATTGTTGCCACTTTCTGCCTGTGGAACTCCCTTCTGTTTACTTGATTCTCTGATAACTACAATCTTCAAAAGTTTAAATGCAATGTCAATCACCACCATCTTCTCAAATCATGTTCATCTTTTGTCCTTTCCTCCCTATTCTCAGTTTTTTTCTTTCTCTTTCACTCCCTGTGTACTAGTGCCATTACCACCATGCTTGGAGTGAAATGATTATAAAAAAAAAAAGTTGGTTTGCATTTCTGTGTATTTCAGCGACGGAAGGTGTTAAAGTTCACTAGTAAAACATGATCATGGAAGTCATTGCTTCAAGTACTAAAGACATGATTAGGCTGATATCGTAATTATTTTCATGCAGCCAATTCCACATCATGTTGCGGCACAATTTGCTCAGTGTATATTATTCTCCTCTATATTTCAACAAAGCTTGTTTATTATGCACACTGAAGAACTAAGACCATTTCAATAAACCATCATCCCCACACCCTAAATAATGGGTGATTTTTAGGTGAATATAAACAGTTAAATAATTTTATGTTGGATTGAAACTATGTACAATGATTGTGAAAATTGACACAGTTCGATAAAAAAGATTTTTTTTTTTTTTTTTTTTTAGATATAATTACATTTTAACATAGCAAATTAGCATATTTACAATTTTCTCATTTTAAAAGTTCATGTATTAACCTTTAACAATACATTATTCACTACTTTTCATTCCACTGCATTGTTTTTCGAGGCTCCTCTGCTACACTACTTAATTTCAGTCATGGTCATTTTTTGTTGCCATAGCAGGATATGACAACACAACTGAAAAATTCAAATACTATTATTCATTCATCTGAGTCAGTTACTGTGGCAGGATAAGTAAAATCACCTCCAGTATGTTAGAGGTTAAGGAAATGCTTATTAATATAAAGCTTCTAGAAGATTTTATGCAAAACACTTGAAAGAATAAAAAGTACTGATAACTCAGATTTGTCATTGTTATAATGTTGTCTTTGTTCATAAAAGCTGAGAATTAGGAAGGCCATAGTTAAAAAGTATCAAAGGAACAGAAGTCTAAGGAGGGAAAACAAAGAAGAGGTTTCTTAAATACTCATACATAGAACGAAAAACTTTACTAAATCAACTACTCAAATCCTACTCTAGTATGGTTACTTGCCATATTTATAAGTAGGAGCAGTCCATTATCACTAGTAGGGAAGAGCAGGAAGTACACAGAGTCCCACTTTACAACAGTCATACAGGCAACAAGTGTCACCATGTCGAAGACAACTGTGACATGAGAATGGTAAAGAGTATGACGAGACTGGCAAGAAGTCTACTGCATGTACCATTGTTAAGAGTCTAGAGCAGTGGTTCCGAAATGGGGTGGAGGAACAGGATAGCAGATGAGGTAGAATGATTATTTAGAAACAGTTTTAAAAAATTCATATTCCAAAAATAAATACAATTTTAAAATATTATTATGGATTACTTGTAATTGTATGCATGAGTCCCAATATAAATAGTTATAATTATTGACTGATTTTATCATTGTGATATTTTTGCATTATATTAAGTATGATGAATATAGTAACTAGGGTCTGCAAATTGGAGAAGAGAGTTATCAATGATAATGTTTTGACTTTTTGTCCGTGGTTATCTCTCTTTAAACTTCTGTTTTTTTATTTTAAATCTACTTTTTATCACATAAAATTTGGTGAGGCTCAAACAAATTTTCATTCCAAAAATGTGTTCCAGAGAAAAAAGTTTGCGAACGACTGTGACAGAGATTGGTACTGTAGTGAAGAAGAGGCCATAAATGTGGGCTAGTGAGGATTGCACTGAATAACCTTAGAGTAACTCATAAACCAGTGATTCTCAAATGGCATGTCAGGATCTTAAGCGTGCCACAAAATACTGTCACTGCATACCTCTGTGTGTGTGTGTGTGTATGTGTGTAAGTGTAAGTCTTAATGAAATAGCGTTAGTATTTTCTACTTCTTATTTATATGAATTATGCTTCTCAACCCTAGATAACCAGAAATAAGAAACGAGAAAAACTATGCTCAACTGAAGAAGACATGAGGGTTTGCTTATTGTACATTCAACAAAACATTGAAGAAATTGTAAAAAAACACCAGGCACAGGTTTCCCACTAAATAAGCTGCACAAATAGTTGAATAGAAACATTGAAATAAAGTAAATTCATATTTGTGTGTGTGTTTTTAAAAATTCTATGGTTTTATTTCATAGCATTTAAATGTATACCCTTTATAAAATTTTGCTACATGTGCCATGATATTTTCATTTGCCCCTAGGTGTGCCATTGCTTAAAAAGGGTTGAGAAACACTTACCTAAACAAATAACTAATGAATGAACAACTGGAAGTGAACAAGTCTTTTAACAAATGGTGGGTAGAATTCTTAAAACATGCCACCTTGTAAAAACCGCTTTTTTGCAGCCTTGCTAAAGATCATATCAAGAAGAATGATTTGGAAGGAAATATTATGGGCTAATGAAACAAAACCAGTTATAACGTCACATATTTGAAGGAAAAGTGAAACTTGGTGGCAATTGACGTTCTGTGACTATTTTGCAACAAAATATCCTAGATAGATAGTATTAATTCTTTGTCATTTAACTGTTGCATTTTATGTTGTCATCGGCTTTCAGCTCGTTGGTTCCCTGCACCTTATTATAGATGGTATCAACAAAAGACCCATTTCTTTTTCTTAATCATTTAATTAGGATAGAGGGTAGACATAGCAGCATTGATACTTGGAGGAAGAACTTCAAGGGAATGCATGTCACTTGTTGACTTAGTGTCAACTCCACATGTGATCTTACACTTCCCACACCCAGGTTCAATAGGCTATCAATGCCTTGAAAATTCCTGTGGTTCTCTTTATTCTGACCATCCTGGCCCAGTCTCTGCATTCTGTAAGATATTGATATTTTGAGCAGGTTATTTAAAGTCAGAAAAATTATTTCAGATTGTAAGAATATATTTTTTGGAGATAATGACTTAGTGACACAAGTCTTACTAATTAACCCATAGCTGGGAGGAGAAGAGTTGGATTCATATTTTAGGTATAAGTGAATATAATAAACCTGACTGAAAATGGGATTAGGCTCTCTGATTAACAATTCCCAGTCATTATCCATTACATCATCCACCCATCCAAGCTTATAGCATCTGTCATTCCCAAGTAGTCACCCACCAAGTAGAAGGGAAGTGAATCTGGAATGTGATTGAACCTTCATGCAGGACAATGATCCTAAGCATACTGTTCAGATTTAGTGAAAAATAAAAGGGATGTTTTATCATAGTCAGATCTGAATCCAATAGTAAATAGTGGAGTGAAATAAATTAAGGGAAGATAGGTAGAAAAAATTGATGACAGTGAGTGATGGACAATATCAGCTCGTTAAACTTTACTTAACTGACAAAAACCATATATGCGAAGGTACAGTGGAGTAATGGATTGTGACTTGGATTGAGGAATCAGAGAGCCAAGTTCAAATTAAAGTCATTACATTCATTTGTGTGCTAATACCCTTGTGAAAATGTATAAATCCATCTCTTCTTCCTACCAGCTATGGGTAAAATAGCAGGACAGACTTGGTTCTATATCCTTGGGTGACAACCAGTCAAGGAGAAGACAATTCTGAATTCAAAACCTGTAGAGGATTGTTTGGGGACCTTGTGGCATACTGGGCACCATCTCTCTGTATTTGGCTCTTCCAATAATCATGGTTGGTTCTGAAACAAACCTTCACCATTATAATCAAAAACGGTACGTGTGGGAAAGACGAGAGAGTCCAGTATATATTTCTTAAAGAGAAGTATTTTAAGCAGCTGGTTCCAATCGATAATCAATTCTCAAGATTTTACAGCACAAAAAAAGATTAAAATGAAAACACATATGCAGTAAAAGTAAAAATGGAAGATTTTAATTTTAGGGTTTTGTTTTTTTTTTTTGTTTGTTTTAAAACACTGTAGGCGCGAACTTCTACAGATGGAAATATTAGCATCATGATTTAATTTTTTTGTTTTATTTTTTTTTTTTGTTATTTTATACAAAGACAGAATTGATGAGTAGAAAAAGAGAAAAGAAAGTGCAGCTGAATAAGACACACATACATTTGAGAGAAATAAGAAAAACTTCTCTCAAAGAAATAACCATGGGGAGAGACTATAAGTCCAAACCAATTCTGATTGCAATGATACCTCAAAATCTCAGAGAAATCCTACAAGAAATCTGAAATGCTGGTCATTTGTATCCAAACTGAACAAGTTTTACAAAAATTAAAAACAGATGGTAGACTGAATTTAAAGGATGAGAATATCTCACAAAAGAGTTCAGCTGTTGTACCATTGAACACAAGCAAATTCTTTAAAACAGAACAGCCAGACAGAATCCAGGTGAGGTTCTCAACAGGTTAAAATCGAAGGTGATTTTTGTTTTTCATCATGTACCTGGGAAAAGAAAAAAAAAAGAAAGAATGATATAATAGATGAGATTTGTTTAAAATCAATTTCAATTATTTTCTGAATAAATTATTAGATTCATTTATGTGGATTTGTTTTAGGCAACAGAAATGATTGTATTAAAACTCTTTTCCTCAACAAATCCATCATTATTTGAATTGCTTAGATAAAAATTAAAAGTACACAATGCTTCAATTAGTATTTCTTTCATCTTCATTTCAATTGCTTTATTTCTACTAGTAGTAATATCTTGAATTTTATTATTATTAAATGAAGCCTTGTCAATTCTTATTCATTTTTCACTAGTATTTCTTTCATCTTCATTTCACAAAGGCTTTTTTTCCTAGTTCACACTACTTAGGATTACAGAATAATGATGATTTGAACTTTGTGATAAACAAACGGAATTTAGTTAATAAAATTTAATAAGTTCAGGAGGGGGGTGCATTTAATTACTTGGGAAGTCTAATAGAAAAGTCCTTACTTATCCAAAAGTTCCCAAAACTGTTGCAACATGGCTCTGTCCAAATGACGTTTGTTTCTATCCAAATTAATCACATTCACTGCCCATTTCTTAATGTTATTGTCCAAAGGGAGATCAGCCCATTTTACGTGGAAAGCCCGAACTGCAAATAAAGAAAGGTGTATTTGAAAAGAGTTATAAATTTCAGATTAAAACAAAAATGATAAAAAAATATGAAGTCTTCTGTTTTATAATTTATTTCTTTTTTATGCTGAACAAGTTGGAGGCCATTTTCTTTTTAGTCTTATTGGTTAACAAGCTTAAAAACCACCCTTATCAAGCAGCATTTAAGCTAGCTCCTGCAGAGGGCTCTTGATTGGGGCTTTGGCTTGTTTGAGAGCATTGGAAGCTCTCTTGGCTGCCATTTGATCTGGGTTTTCATTTGCATGCGACTTTCTTCTTCTCACTGCAGCCTTGGCTCTTTTGATTGCAATCTGGTCTTCTGTTGGTGGCGATTTCTTTTTTTTCTGCTGCCGTATACAATAAGCAACAATAAACTAATCAACTCAAAATTGATCGCTGCATATAAGTATTGCATTAATATTTAAGCTTATCTTTTAAAAGTTCAACAATAATTCTTTTACTGTCATTTTAATTTAAAGACAATTTGATATATGAAGGTCCTTACTTTCCATACAAAAAATTACATTTCATGGATGACTTTCACTGGTTTTTGTAATTAATTTCAATTATTTCCAAATTTATCTCCAAGTTATAAAAATTGTTATTGTAAAAACAAAATTTGTCACAAAACATCATGTAAAACAATGTCCGAAAACAACTGCAGTAATGAAAACTTGAGAATCCAAAATTTCAGGATTGCAGGTCCAGATCCAGCCTTGAATATTTTTAATTTGTTTACAGAGTCAGCCTGATTCCAAAATGATATATGATATGTTGGGCTACGGCCTCTAGGAGTAAATTTGAATAAGTGTGACACAGTGACATTTGCATTTATTTATACAGAAGATGAAATATTTAAAAGTTAGAGAGTTGTGTCTCTTTAATTGAAAAAGTGTGACACACACACAGACATTTCACATTTATTATATAGACGACATTGAAGTTTGTTTCTATCAAAAATTATGGAAAATGAATTGGCCGAGTTGCTTCGTATTCACTTTATCATTTATACTATTGTGGGGAAATATCAGTCCTCATTTCCAAACATCTTGTTTCTGACATGTCACAATGGTTGACAGGTAAACACTTTGGAGAGTCATTCTCTCATAACAACCACTAAGGCAGTATTGATTGAGTAATTTGGGGTTTTTTTTTTTATGGCTTATCAACCTTTTCTAGAGTATTTAAAGCCAAAACATATTTTTGGATTGTAAGATTAATTATTTTTCTTCTTTTGTGAGTTAATATTGTATTAACAATTTTTTTAGAGATAATAATATAACTTATTTTTAAATATAATTTTACTTATTTTGAATATAAATTATTTAAATATGACTTATTTTTAAATTTAGCTTATTTAAATATATCTTATTTTTAAATATAATTTGTCTTTGGAATAGTACTTTTAAGCATGATTTTGTATTTTTAAATACAATTTTATCTATATATTTTTAAGTTTTTTTAAAACCCCTTTTTATTCCTCTCTTAGTTTTAAATTAACATTTTATTCTTCATATAACCCCTAATTTAGTGTTATCAGGTTAATATCCATGTTTAATTTTATAAAACCTCTTCCTTTTAAGACTAATGCCTTCCACCCTCCCATGACCTCTGTCTTGTGCCTTTTGTCTGACTGAAACATTGAAATGATAAATTCTGTATTAGTTTTTTGACAGTTTTTGATTTTTTTTTTGTAGCTTACATGGTTAAATTACTAATTCCGACACAAACTCAGTCTATACCGGGGTTGAATAAGACTGAAGAATCTCTGTTATGGTCCGGTTCCTTGTACCACAGTGATAGTCCACGGTAAAACCAATAAAGAAGAACTCGAACACGGATATGGAATAACACAGATATATTACAAACAGGAATATATACAGAGTAGAAAGTGTTAGTACGGACAATCAGGTTTAGTAGTAATGGTCTGAACACGACTCTGTTTCGGTCTGCCTCTGACTCGACTGACTGACTCACTCGCTCGATCTAACTGACAGACTGACTGACGGACTTAACTCCAGACTTCAGACGGAACTCTCTGCTTCCTCTTGTGGTGCAGTATTTATTACGTATGGAATAGTCAATTATGTTATTATGGGTACAAAATCTATTTTTTCTCCTCCTTATATTTTTCTTTTCTCGCAATTCAAATCATTATTCTATCAATTTAATATTTACCAACATTCTTCTGATGCAGTGTTGGTTGAAAAAGATCCTGAAAGAATGCTTTGCTGCATTTTCAAATACATATTTAATATATTTTCTGTTTATACGTTATTTTTAATATATATATATATTTATTTATTTATTTATTTGGGCTGCAACCTTTCTTTTAAACATTTTTTCATTAAATATTGCAGGCAAGGAAGATTTAATTTTTTATTCAGTTTTTCCAGCATTCTTATGTTTTTCAGTTTTATATTAGTAAGGGAGTAGAGAAATTTTCCATAATTTTCATTGTTCCAACCATTTTCAGCCACTTCTTTAGCGATTTTCAATGGGTGGTTTTGGTTGTTTTAACTGTTTAAGTAGTATTTTATTTTTGTGTTGTTTTGATTAAGAGTGTTTATTCACATATTGGGTATCTTTCTATTTTGAAAAAAATTATATATATATATATATATATATATATATATATATATATATATATATATATATATATATATATATATATATAATTTTTTATATATATATCCATTCAAGTGTCCAATGATTTTCATCATAAGAGATAAAAGAAAACCCAAAAATAATTCCCTAAAAAAAAAAAAAAAAAAAAAAAACTAAGCCTGACGGAGCCCATCCCTCTTCAGGTTATCTTGCACCAGACGCAGCATTGCTGCAGTACATGTTGCCCCTTTAAACCTACTGAGATGACATGACTATCTCCTAAGTATGTTTGACACACATTTCTAGAATAATTCAGAATGTAATCTTTGTCAATCAACCAAACACCACTTAATATTCAATAGCAAATTTGCAATTTGCCACTTAGGTCATTAGGATGATGCCTCAATGTAGGGAATTACAATTGCTTAGAATTATAAAATTTTTTAAATATTTCATGGTGCACACTTTGGGAATCATTATTTTAAACAATGCTTCATAATTATTTGCAATTAGAAAATAGAAAAGGAATAAGTCTTACTTCTTGAGAATATTTCTACAGGATTTCCGTCCCATGGCCAACCTTTAAACTGCCAAGCAGGACCCTGAACAAATACAGCAACTACACGATCCCTGAAAATATAAGAAGCCTTTATTATTTTGTTAAATCAAACAATGTACCTTGAGACATAAATAATTGCTGTCCCAAATTTTAGGATCTATATTCAATAGTCCAATATCAGTTTGTACAGAATCGTTTTAAGTAAAAGAGGCCAAAATACATGTATCAAAGATAAGACTTAGTGATTCAAAAGAAAAGCGTTTCATTTAAGTGGTAGAAATTATATCAAAAGAACAAAGACACATACAAGGATTGATTGAGAAATTATGGTCTCCTTCTACATGATGCCACTAATTGAAAAAAAAACAAAACAACAGAAACACTTTTGAACATGTATATTGTAGACTCCTTAGTATCAGTTTGCTGTGAGGACAGCTTTGAGTAATATATCTAAATTACCATATATACTTGTGTATCATGCAACTTTTGAAGACTTAATTTTTTAAGCTAATTTTAAAGAGGTCGTATCATACATGAAATTAGCGTATGTACAGTAAATGGATATATAGTTTGGTCAATGGTCGTATCATACATGAAATTAGCGTATGTACTGTTGGCCCTGGCTACACCACTGACCAAACTATATATCCATTTACTGTAGTCAAAAAGTACAGCTGTATATGTTAATACAGAAAAGAAAGATTGTATTATTTACACATAATTTATTCTTTTAAGTATTTAGATATATTGTAATGTTTTGCGTGTGTGTAAAGCAGAGGAAAATAAATTAAGTTTAAGGATTAGAAAAAGAAAAAATCCAACTAATAAACAGCTACACAGATTATATAAAATTTATTGTATTTCTGAAATGCAATAATTTTGATAGGGTTGACAGTTACAAGTCCCACAAAAAGAATTATTTTGCAGGCTTGTGTGACTTTCCAATGGCCCATGAATTAACATATAGCAGTAATTGTTACCCACTGGCATCCAAGGATTAGAATCATCACCCTCTATCCTTATTCCTTTTCTCTCCTCTGGTGGCAGTGGCAGAGACAGCTGTGAAGGCCCAGCCTACTCCTGAAAAGCCATGAGCAGGAGTCACAAAGGAGTGTGAGAGGTGGACGTGGCTGGGTGAGTTTGGCCCTACCAACAGCATGTTGCAGATCTTCTTCATACTGATGTTTGGACTAGAAAGACTCAGTACCCACCACCCAATCCCAGATGGTCCTATATCAGGAAGGCTGATTTGCAGCAAGTTTCCCAGGTCTTAGTGTCGATGCTGGCTTGTGCCAGGGATATCGCCAACTGATCTTTGAAGCATCATTTTGGGCATCTGCATAGCCTCTTGCCACTGGTGTGGGTGTCAAATGGGATGCATTCTGAACACACTCACCCATCCAATGGAGGTGATGGTAGCATTGATACCCAAACAATTACCAAGAAGGTGAGATTTTCCAGTAAAAAAAAAAAAAAAAAAAAAAAAAAAAAAGCTTCTTGTTCCTAAATTTGCCAGTGAGAATTGATAGTGAACACACAGGTCTAAAACTGCTAGGATTGGGAAATCTCTCTCACACACTTTTTCCTCTTTGTTTACTGTGTTTATCAGCAAAATTAAGGACAAAAAAAGTTGCCAATTACAAACCATAAGCATTGTGATATTAATACTACAGAAAAAAAAATCTCTCTCCAAATGGAAAAAAAAAAATGTCTGACAGGAAAATGTTAACAGACAGGAACAGTGCAACTTTAGTATATTGCTGTGAAGACTAACAAAGCAACACAACTGAACAATGACAGTGATCACTAAACACCCCTTTTGAGCCACATACTTAACTCCATATGATATCATGACATGATCACAATATGAAAAAAAAACAAATTCACATTAGACTTAAAGTGTATAAATACTTGGATGAGACAACAAATGTCTCATTTATTTTATGAATTACAACCAAAATAGTTTCAGAATCACTATGTGACAGAAAACATTTGTAATAAAACATGAGAAGTGAAATCTTGTCTACAGCTGTTACTTGATTCCAAGTTCCTAAAATTTCATTCCAAAGCTGAAGAATGTAGGGAACTAAATGTATGGAATAAACATATTTTGTAAGTAACAAAAAATATATTTACCAATCATCAGATTGCAGTTTTGTTGGATTGTCAATAATACGATAAGGGACAGTCAGGCCTCCTTCTTTTCGTCTCTGAATTAAAACTTCATTCTCACGTTTTGTGCCTTGTGCTTTTTTCTCCTCAGTGCTAATGAATCTAAAAATACAACAGAAACAATTATTCATATTTACAAGTCGGGATGGAAGTGACAACCTGCTGAATGATAGGAATTGTTATTGCAATAAAAATTTTAAAATTGTTAACTAGAGAGAAAATTTACACATTCTCATACAATATGTACATATTTTTTTGAATAAACAATGTTTGCAGGTTATGTAATGGCCAGCAAACTGTTATGATGACAACAGAAAACCCCAAATTTTTTTTTCTCTCTCCATTCACAATTTGAATAAAGATAAGAAGTTCTTTATAATCTTCTTGTCTCTGTTCAGATCAGTAAAAGAGAGTTTGGATGAATTTCTTTTACAAAAAAATAAATATCAATAAGATCATTTTTTTTGTTTTTAGAGAAACATAAATTGTGGTATCAAATTTTGCTGCACACATTAAATCTTAACAGAAATTCATTTGTTTTCTTTGAAAACATCAGAATAAATAGATAAAGTGTTGATTGATTTCTTTTTTTTATGGTTTATCAACACTTTTTGTGTTATTTGAAGCCAAAATATATTTTAGATTTCTAAGAACAATTCCTTTTTTTTGCATTAACAATTTTTTTGAGAAGAATTTTTCCAATAGTTACAAGTCCTACTATTTAACCCATAGCTGGGGAGAGGAGATAGATTCATACCTTTCCCAAGGGTATTTGCACATAAGTGAATCTAAAATTAATATTTAGTGTTGGATCAGTTATATTCATGACAGACTATATTTTCTTTACCAGCTTGTAATCAAAATGGAACTTGAACTCTGAAAATCAACTTTAAATATTAATTTTAAAAAAATCAGATGTTCAAAGTAGAATTTAGTTTATATGGTATTATATGTTATTTTTGTTTCTTAAATAAAAGAGTTGACCGTAACACTTTAGCATTCAACCCTAGCCCCATAAATATCGGTTCTCAATGTCAAACCCACTGTAACCCGCCCACATATACTCTGCCATAATATGACATCATCATCATCATCACAAATAATTCAGGAAGTCACACACAACAGTGAGACTTTCAGAGCTGATATTTATGGAGTGAGTTGCATGCTAAGTGGTTAAATAAATACATCAAAAAAAAAAATATTGTCCATACCTAAGATCTTGCAGCATGTCCTTAGAATTAAACATGGTGATGAGTGATGTGGCAGCAGCTGGTATGATAATGATTGGTGTCCTTGAGCCTTTCTTCTGGTTGGGTGGAGGTCTTGCCTGGGAGATTGGTCTTGGTTGAGGCATAGGAGTAGGTGTAGGCACTTGGGTCTTTCTAGCAAGTGCACCTTCTGTCACAGATTTTAAGGTCATACCGTGGTAGGTTCCCATAGTATCAATTTTAAAGCCTTCCGTTTCTGAAAATCAAAAATGTCATTTTGTTCACTTATTTTCTGTAAACAATTTGGAATAAAAAATTAATTAAGTTTAATTTTTATTTATCCAATGATCCTTTACTCAACTTCAATATTTGACTTGATAAAAAATTTTGGATCATTAAGACTGGAGATCTTCCACAAAAAGACACTCAATAATAGAAAACTGTCAACCTTAAGAAGTAACACTTTATTTGAAAAATATAACTGAAACAAAAATTAACATTAAATTATTCAACTAGACTTTATGAATTTAAGTGCAGTACTAGATTAGTGGAAAAGTCTCAGCATTTTATATTTGAATTAGCTAGATGTAACCATAAATTATATGCTAACAGTTTCTTCTATTACACTTCTCACTTGTGGAACTCTCTTCTGGCTTCTTGCATCCCAGTCAATTTTGTTCTTCAAAAATTTAAATGCAATGTCAATCATTATCAGTAACCTCTTGCATCCTAGTGGTTTTATTGCCTTGCTTGGGATGAAATGGTTTATTAAAAAATTTTTAAAAAACATGAGCAATTTATCTTTATCATCAAAAGATAAAGAAAAAATGTCAAATCAAATACAAAAATTTAAAACATTTTAAATTTTTATCAGAATTTTTGAAATGAAGAATTATCATTATTATAGTTTTGGTTGTTATTGTAACAATGTTTTAGTTCTTGTAACTGATCCAAACTTTCATTTATTTCTATCCAAACTTTATTCAATCCACAGGGATAGAGTGTTCTTATTCCAAGATGATCCCAACTGCTTGAGAGTGTCATGTCTGAATTAATTAGTTCTTGTGATATCAGCACGTGTCACTTCGACTAAATCAGTGTATATGTATAATTTTTTTTTTTTTTAACTATTCAATTCAAGGAGTAAACTCATGTCCACCAGATAAAACTAGATTCACTTGATAATAGAATGAGAGTAATCTACTCCTGTTCATTGAATAAAGGGTTTGCTTTGAAATTCAAAGATTATAAACAACACTAGACAACTAAAGAAGGTTGGAGAGTACGATGGATAAAACAGAGACAATAATAATCTAGATGAAGACAATCATCTAAGTAAAAGACTCTATAAACTTAAAATGTTTTAAATAATAAAATTATGATTTTTAAATAATACATCATACATTTAAATTTTTTTTTGTTTTAAATATATAAGTTTCATTCTATATTTGTATTCATATGCAAAACAAATTTACAAAGAGAACAAAAATATCTTAACATTATTTAATTCTGGCATCTAGGCTCCAGCCACTTTCCCACTACCATAAGGTTGCCTCCCTTTGCCTTTTCTATGAATTTCATGGTAATTGTTCAGATGAGCTCTTCACTATGGTACCTAGACTTTTTGAATTTAAGCACAGTACAAGACTGGCACTGAGATCTCATCAATTTACAGTTGAACTAGCTAGATATAGCCATAAATTCTATGCTAAGTTTCTTTCCTCGTACTTCTCACTTGTGGAAATTCTTTCTGGCTCCATGCTTTAATCTGCAAAAATTTAAATGCAATGTCAATCACTATTTACTGTGCTCCTGATTACTCTTTCTGCTTCCTGCTCATAATTAATTTTTCTATTTCTAATTTTTCCACACCTTGTAACTGATTGTGTTTTAATGGTTTTACTGCCTTGCATGGAGTGATACTGATTTTGAAAAAGAAAAAAAAAGAAAAGAGATTATTAAAAAGATTTTCAGATGAATATTGATTTTTAAAATGTATGTCTCATAGGGGAAAATTAAGCAATGAAATTATCAGAGCATTTAACCTGAATAATTTGTAATCTTTTCATAAAGCAAGAAGTGAAAAGGGGCAAAAAAGAAAGCATAGATACCTTCTTTTCCTCTAAATCTTTCTTGATCGTATCTGTTGTAACCAATTGCAGGAGGAGGCCGAGTCTAAAGAAAACAAAAAGAAAATCAAACATGACATTAAAATCATTTACACAAACTAAGTCCTTCATGTATCATTGAATATAATTTGATCCTTTATAAAAATCAAGTTTTATTGGTAATAACAGGAAATTTGTTTTTGAAATGATTTGGTCAGATAGGAAGAGTTTCAGTGATAATAAGAATCTGTTTAAATTTGTCACAAATAAGCCACCCAAGAAAGGTTTTCATATAACCTCTTAGAACATGGCAAGGTTGCAGGGAGGGGGTAGATGAAAGTCATGATTATATTCACAGTTACCTTTTGTTTTGCCATACAGTATATCTTTCAAATCTGGCTGACAATAACCAAATGCAGTAAACTCTAATTAATGCCACTATTACAATTTTATCGCAATAGATGTGTAGTTATTGGTGAGGAAAGTGAAATCAATGAGCCCAGTACATTGCATTCACTTTTACAAATATCATCTCTTTTCCCTAAGTTAGGAGTTAAATAACAAGGTAGACTGGGATTTCTAGCATTAGGTGGTAACCAGTCCAAGAGAAAGAAAGAAAAGAAAAATTATGGAGAAGGCAACAGAAAACTCATTTTATCGTGTTTCCAAATATGTCATGACAATTCACAAATAAAAAAAAGAATCTGTGGAGAGCCATGATTACAAATGTCCTAAAAAGACTTTATGGCCACCATCAATAGCCAAAGATAATTAGAAATATAATATTCAAATCAAAATGATTTGATGAATTTCAAAATAAACCTTTATCAACAGAAACATTTTGCTTATATGTGGCATTTTTTAAAATTTGAATTGAAATAATACAGAAGAGTTATTTATTAAAATATGCTTTTAAAAATTATTATCCAAATTAAATATCCATTCCATTATTGTTGTAAATTCCAATTTTTGATCTGTTGATGTAAGGTGGGGACAAACAGCCAAACTTTAGCCTTATGCAAATTCTTAAGACATGATGCATACAAATACAATGACCATTAGTAGAACATCATTGTACAATATTCAAAACCAAACCAACTAATAAACTGGCACTTCACTTTATACGCAGAACAAACAAAGCATTTAGAATTGACACCTTGTATAACTGATAAGTAAAAAAAAAGCAAAAAAGAAAAAAGCTCTCTGTATATGGAAGTAGTTGCACAAGGCTTAATGGAATAACACTAACCTCCCAATGTGGAAAAAACTGGCTGGTTACATTCAATGCCTTGAAAACCAAACTGATTACATTCCATCACCACCAATCAGACCTCAAACTGCTGCTAGTAGTAATGAATGGATGTTCCCTATAGGAGGCTTCGTACCTTGAAAAAATATTGGGCTTCAAACTCACACCTGACCTAAAGTGGACCTCTTATATATGATCCATTGCTAAATATGCAAGTAAAATGATTGGCTCCCTGTACTACTTTACCTTCATAAGAGCCAAATCAGACCAAAAATTCTGTTGTTATATTTGGGTGGGAGCTACCCAGTCCTCACTTTCCAGTCTTGATAGAGTTCAAAAGCATCTTCATGTCCTTGTTGAAGAATTATTTTCCACCCTCCAATCTCTCTCTCACAGGTAGGGTGTGGCGAGTCTCTCACTGCTCTATCGCTACTTCCATGGAAAGTGCTCAGACGAACTAAATTCCTTTGTTAAGCCAGGTCTAGGACATAACATTCTGCTTACATAGTAGCAAACCACCCACATTCCCTCTGCATTTCGAGGAGAAATAAGTTTCATTCAAACAGCTTCTTCATATGAACCACTGCTCTGTGGAACTGGCTCCCAAGAGGATGTTTCCCTGATCACTACAATCTTAACCTGTTCAAGGCTAGAGTTAACCATTATCTTCCTCTCCAATCCATATAAACTACTACTTAATGCTTAATGTAACCCTTTACCTTGAGTGGCCCTCAGGCCTTACTGAAAAAAACAAACAAAAAAAACACAAACAAGCAAACAGGGAATTTAATATTCAACTAATGAAAAAAAAACATTATGTTAAGCAGATTAATTCTATTTCAATAAATTTGTTACCCTATTAAAAATAATGGAGGCATTACAATTTGAGAATTGCCATAATACACAATAGAATGGGAGTGTGTACTTACAGCCACAGGAGTTGTCTGTGAAGGATGATTCATTTGTCGTTGATTGCCTTCTTCACGAGCTTTAATGGACTGTAAGATGCTGAATATATTTTTGGCAAATTCCTGCCAAAGAAACAAATAAAAAGTAAAAAAGATATCTGGAAAAAAACTTAGGATATATCAGTACGTACTAAATGTTGAAGTAGAACAATTTAATGTGAATCAACTTCGTTCACTGCTTCCTAATATGCAATTAAATATCATTTTACAAATTTATGTATTTTCAGATTTGGAAAAATGTAGTCCGATATATTACTTAAAATTATTTAATAATTTTAATCAAAGACTTTCAAGAGAAGATTTTGTGATGTACAGAGTACAGATAGAAGCAAGCAAATCTGCAGGCTGTCTTTATAAATTCAACATGAGCAGTGGATCAAGCAAATATAATAACTAACATATGAAAAATGCAGTGTGTGCGCATGTGTGTGTAGCATTTTGACACTTTTCACAGATACTACATTCTAATCCTAAGCAAAAGGGATGACTTCCATATAAATAATCAAGCCATGTTCTTTTTACAGGTATCCTGCTAATAATAAAAATAAACATAATACTCCTACAACACGGTATTTTCTGCTTTTTATTTGAATGAACAAATTAGGAACAGGAATTATAAAATGTTGAAAACCAGCAAAATAATGCACCTTTTTGTTAGAAAAAAAGAGTTCCATGTTGCAACTCCGACCCTCAAGTTTAATTAAAATTCTCTGTTGAAAGGACGAGATTTCAGTCCGTGGACGAGATTAAGGAGATTGAAACAAAACAGCTGATGGTAATCCTAAACAAGAACTTTGAAGAACCTTTTAAAAAGTGTAAAGCTGTGGTTACCAAAGAGTGCATCATGCCTCATAGGTGTGGCAGAAGAGGTGGAATGATTGCAAGACAAAGATTTAGAAACAGTTTCAAAAAATTCATCTGCCAAAAATAAATGATTTCAAAATTTAAAATATTATTATGGATTACTTGTAATTGCATGCATGAGTCCCAGTATAAATAGTTATAAATAATTATTGACCGATTTTATCATTGTGATATTTTTACATTATATCAAGGATTAAGAATATAGTAACTACGATCCACAAATTGGAGGAGAGAGTTATCAATGATAATATTCTGACTTCGAATTCACGGTTATCTCCCTTTAACTCTCTCTCTTTTTTTTCATTATTTTTAAATGTACTTTTTATCACATAAAATTTGGTGACGCATGAGCAAATTTTCATTCCAAAAATACAGCCCAGAGAAAAGAAGTTTGGGAACTGCCAGTGTAAAGGATACTAAGTTTAAAAATATATATATATATATATATATATATATATATAAATTATTTTTTATAAAAAAAATTATAACATAAGTATGTTATAAAATCACTACAAAAATAGCCATTTGAAAATTTTCAACATCATCACTTGATAAGACACAGAGTGTGTTGAAACAAAATGGCTATTTTTGTAGTGATTTTATAACATACTTATGTTATAATTTTTTTTTATAAAAAATAATTATATCTGCTCTACTTTGCATTGAGCACTCTTTTAAGAATAGTAATTGTTGGTTATTGGAATTCATTCCGTATATACCAATTATATACTTGTATATATATATATAGTGGAATACTTTAAAAGGGACAAAAGATGCCATTATCCTATGTAGGCTACTATTTTTGTTAATCTTAACTGGCTGAAGCATTTCTAGACAGACCTTGTACTACTTAAAAATTTTAGGATTAGTGAAATTTTTCAACTAAAACACATTTTTTCTTAATGAAAGCCTTTTTCAGATAATTTAGAGGTTTTTTTTCTTCGATCTAACCTTGTCAGAATTAAAGTTAGTTTTCTTGTCATTTAAAAAGTGAAACAATATTTGCAGCATTGAAAAGACATTTTTACCTTTCCGGAACTCTGGAGAATAGTAGTTCGTGTACGCCACAGCCTTTCTCGACTGACGATATCTCGTGTTACATCCACTTCAGCATCCACAAATGTCCGCTGGTCATCAGCACCAGGTGCAATATCGTCATCCCCTTTAATCATAGTTCTTTTCTTGGCCAAACGCTTTGCCTTGATAGCTGCAATTTTTTCCATAGGAAGAGCTTCAGGAAGTGATGAGGACCTGATGACAAAATATAAGCCATTTAGATTTTCTTCTGAGGTTAAATTCCTGATTTTGTACCTCCTGAGCTCACATAAGTAACAGCCACAGAGATTAGGAATACAAAAGTTATATACACAATCTTTGAAGTTTTAAGGAATTTAGATTCTAGAGCAAAATGTTAAGTATCTTATGCAAATATAACAGAATTTAGTTTAGATGACCAGACTTTACTTAAATAGAAATTATTAAAACAATTACTTCTGCCAATCTGCTACAAAGAAATCTTTAGATAATTGTGACATTCATACATTGTATAGAAAGTGATTTAGAGGCACTTTTAAAATCAATTAACAAGTGAAATCTTAATTAGAAAACTTAAGAAAATCTGATAAATATGACGTGCAGAATTAATTGAAAGACTCTAAGGTGCCAAACAGAAGATGGGGAGGGGTTTTTTGTTGCAAAAAAGTTTTCACCACCCCTACGCCCTGAGCTTATTATAACCACCCTGTTATTTATTTTTGCACTTCTGATCATTTAAATGACTTTTCTACACCTTTTATTAAGGCAACCTGTTTATAGCATGTTGAAAAAAAGTTCAGTCAACTACTCCAGAATTAGGCACCTTAGAGTACAATGCTACATAATTTAATAACGTATTTAGTCAGTAAGATTTCATTTTTAACAAAGTCTGTTTGTTTTTTTTTATTGTATTTTTTCAATTTTTAAATAAGTTGTTGCACACCTGAAGCAAACTTGGGGATTATTATCTATCCAATGTTCATATTTTTGGTTGATTATTTTGAACTGCCTTGGTCATTAATCAAGAACAAGTGATTTGAAAATTGGAAAAATACAATAAAAAATTAAACAGCCATTTAAATTTAATAATGATAGGCATTAAAGTTTAACCCTTTAGCATTCAACACATTCAAATCCACCCTATAAATATTGGCTCTCAAAGTTTGCATGACTTCTTGTGTTATTTGTGATGATGTCGGCATATATTATACCAGAGTATCCATGGGGTGGGTTACAGCAAGTTGAACATTAAGAGTCAATATTTACATGGTGGGTTGAATGCTAAGGGGTTAAACAAATAGAAACAAAGAACAAAATGTAGCACAGCAACGCTTACACAATCTTTGATGGTATCATTGAAGTCTCTCGAGGAGCATCAATCTTGTTCATCCAATTCTTTTTAGCCTGCTGCACTTGTTCCTCCTAAAGACAGAAAAGAAAAGGTGACTTATTACGAGTAGTAGACAAATCAAGGGATGATGCCATATAATAAACTGACAATAAAATCAAATCAAACACGTTAGAAAAGAGGAGATGTACATGAAATATTTGATGGAAAATCAACAACAAATCAAGATGCAGAAAGAATATAATTATTTTTTTTATTCCTTATTAGATATTAAGTCATTCTGATAGCTCTTTTATCAGAATATATTTATCTGAACAGTTGTATATATTTCACCCTTTTAGTGAACAATTATCAAATCCCAATCAGAGAAATATAAATTATTTATATTTCTGTTTTAACAACCAGTTTTAAAACAAAAAATATCATTCTGAAAAACAATGTTTGTCAGCGTTCATTATTTGTAATTATAAGTAAAAAAACTTTTAATATTTCAACACTTATTCAGATCATCCACAGAACACTAATATTCAGATGAGGATAAAAATTTGAAAATCTTAACAAAACTGATACTTTCTTTTTCCACAATCTTAAATAAATTGCCTATAAACGAGTTTCATCTTTTAACCATCTTCATATTTATTAAAAAAAAAAAAAAACCCTCTAAAAATGATATAACAAAGAAAATGCAATACAAAACAATAGATTTCTTATTATGATAAATGCTATATTCAATAGATACACATGTTTGAATAGGCATCTGTTTGTTTTTTTTAAAGTATAATCAACTGATTAAGTCTGAATGGCACAACAGCTCGAATGTTGTGATAACAAAAATAAAGATGAGGACAATAGTTTGCATACAAATAATAACTCATCTTAGAAATTCAAAGTATAATTGATGCCAACGTAAAAAATACAGGGATGTCTACTCAACCACATATATCAATTAAATATATCATTTACTGTAGTAAGAAATAATGCCAAATTATAAATAAAATCCATTCATTCCTTAACATGCTGGTTCCTATATAACCTACTGGTGGGTCATGGTGGTATGTCTGCAAAACCCACACGACCCTCCAGTTTTTTTTTCTATGAGGATTATTTGGTGTGGGATGCTATGATTAATTGCTTATGAAATCATGATACACAAGAACCATTTTTTTTTTTTAAATTTAAATATTTTTGATTTGTTTTATTTTGTTTTGTTTTGAAATTTTTACTGTTGATTTTTGGGTTTTTTTTTTTTTATTTTACATACACAGGCCTGGACCATGCATTTGTAAAATGGGCTCAGGTGCTGAACAACACACCAGTGGGTCATGGGTAATAAATATTACTATCCTTGCCTGATATATGAAACAATGTTAAAACAAAGTCACTTATACCAAAATTAAGATATATTGTTGGTACTCTGTGATAACAAGAGAAATAAGACTTGGAATCCAACATGTTAAAACAATGGATCCAATACTGATCACAGATTTAATATTTGATGAATATCTGCAAGAGTTACAGGTATTTTCATCTGAAAGGTTCTGCAATTCTTTTCAGCCATGCTGATCAAAATTTTGTGGCCTATAACCAGTTTTGAAATATGTAACATTTTAATAAACTTTAGTAACAATAGTCCAGTCAAATTAATCTTAATAGTAGCAAGTGCATTGCCATCAATGATCGCAATTCTCTGGAACATCGGGCGGGGGGCATGGTTTATCATAATGTTTGGCTGTCAGAGATCCTATTCAGCAAATACATATGACAAAAATATAAAAAAAAAAATACACCAATTTCAGTTAATCTCAAAAGTAGATTTTTATTATTATTAAATGAATTACTATAACAGGTTAAAATAAAAAGAATTGAATGCAATTGCCGTCAGTGATATTGGAATCTACTTGCTAAAATTTGATTATACCAACAAAAATAAAATCACCATCTTGAATTCCATTTCCTGGAAACCTACAAATGCTTAAAACATGAACAAGAATTACAAAAATGTAAATTCTTTTTTTAGATCAACAAAAATGTATTTTAAAAACATTAGAAAAAGATATTTTTATTGGAATCATAAGCACCTTCTAGTGTTTTATGTCATTTCATCATTGATTTCAAGCTATAAATTTATACAGGACTGGGTGCCGCATACTTTCTGCCTTGTGCCACATCTAAGCTGCATTTAGAAAATCAACATAACATCATAAAGGACATTCAACATAATTTTGAACTAAAAACTATATCTCTTTATACTATTCACATTGTTCAGGTTGTTGTCCTCATCTTTATTGGCATATTCACAACATTTTGGCCATTGTACTCTCTGGCCTTCTTCAGGTGATATATGTTGGAATTTCAAATTGAATATGACAATAAAGATGAGGACAACAGTCTGGACAATGTAAATAGTTACAATATCTCATCTCAGAAATATAGACAGATCCTGAAGAAGGCTGAATTACAGATTACTTTGCAAAAGAATTAAATACAGTTGGACAATGAAAAGAACAGGCAACCTAAAAATATACATTTTACTAGCAACCGACATCATATGGTGTGTGCGGAAGTAGAATAACAATAATACTTACTTCAAGCCGAGGTTTCTTTTTTTCTTGATCTCCTTGGGTTTCATCTGCTGTTCGTTTAACTGAAAATTCCAAACAAGCTAGAATGTAGTGTCTTTTAATGGTTTGTGACAATCTTAGCTATAAATGTTTCTCAGTGTTGCAATGTAAGAAAACATTGCATCATAAACAAATGTGTGCAAAAAATTATAAGGAAACAATTAAATAATAATAAATGCTTAAAAAATATAAACCCCTTTAAAAAAAAAAAAAAAAAAGAGTAAATGAATGCCAACTAACCCTGCACTGGTCGCTGTACAGAGAGCTCCAACGGAGCACTTTTGTCAATACTACTGGACGTTGAGATTTCTCCATTTAAGTACGCTAATAATTCCTTTCTATCCGGGCGACACACGACAGGAACAACCGCTGCCTGCAAAATGACAAAAGAAAAGACAGATCTCAATTTGAACAGTCAAAGTAAGGAAATTACCATTTTCTGGAATTAGTCGTATAAATGAAGAAAATGACTTCATTATATTTTTCCCTCAATAAACCACAGTAATATTGTTTGATTAGTGATAAGATTTGAGCAAAATATTGAAAGACTTACTCACAGATAAGCAATAATGTCTTAAAGCAAATGTCAGATCTAATTTTATATTCTCTGAAGTGAAAAAGAACCAACTAAAGACAAGGTCAATACAATCCATATCAGATTATATTTTAAGGGAATCAGTCAGGTGAAATAAAGCAGACTTTTTGGAACAATTCCTTCCCTTTGCTGAGCATATAATCACAATCATGAACTTCATACTGGAAAGATAATCTTTTTTTTCAAATTGCGTGTGTATGTGTGTGTACATTGGGGGGGGGGGGCTTGAAAAGATAGAAAACACATCACTTACAAGATTTGTTTTAAAAAGCAATTTCTTTAAGCAACAATCAATCTTATATAAAATAAAAAGGAAAAGGGGAAGGAAAATACAATAAATGATGGTTACAGTTTATATCTAAATATTAAAAATTTGATGCTTGTTCTATCTTGATGTTAAACTTAGCCCATATCATTCAAGATGGTCATAAGGTGGTTTAACAGCAGAATGAGACCGGCCAAGTTTAAAGGCGGAACGAGACCAGCCAACTTTAATGGCGGAATGAAATAAGCTAAGATAGATACAGCAGATGTCAAAATTTAAATACCAAGCACTTTTGTATCTTTAATATTTTGATGTAAACTGTAACCAGCAATTGTTATATTTCTTCCTTTGTCTCCATCCCCCACCATTTCTGACATATAAGACTGATTCCATCAATAAAACTTATTAGTCTAAAAAAGTTTCATCTTGGAATGAAACACATCACTAATAAGCTTTTTCATTCACACAAAGAGAATTAAACCTCACTTCAATTTCTGGTCTCAAGTGACCTCTCCTTACTAGCAGACAGAATTACCAACATTATATACATTCTCATGAATCACTATTTCAACAAGCAGGGGCTCCATTTCAAGTGGAACAATTATATTGAATTGCTAGGTTTGCTGCATGTAAAATTTGGTTCATTGTATTGTGTGAGACAATTTTTCTTGCCAGAATCAGTATGATACCTTTACAAGTCTACTATTCATCCATACATTGAATGTTGCAGCCACATATGGTCTGGCACTCCTGCTACATATTTCAACATTGTTGACAAAAAAAGAAGCAGATATGGCATCTTGGCTTCAGTCATTTTCCCACTATCGTAACACAGCTTCCCTGTGCCTTTTTTTATAAATATTTTTGTGGTAACACTTCTGATGCAATGCAATGTCAAGCATTATCATCTGTCACATTAATTCTTGTTCTTTATTGGCCTCTCCTTAATAATGTTTTTTTTTGTTCAGGTATTATGTAACCCCTTTGTGTCTTAGTGGCTTCATCAGCTTGCTTCAGGTGAAATGATTTTAAAAAATAAGATTAAAAAAAGTGTTTTTTTTTTTTTTAACTTCTAATAAATCTACACCTCATATTTGAAAATAAATTTTTTGAATTCATAAATCTAAAATAATAAAATGGAATTAAGAGTTTCTAATTACTTTTGAAATAATTTTGATAATCACAAAGATTGAATATAACAGCAAAGGAAAATATATTTTCTACTTACCGCCGCTTCTCTGACATATAACGAATGTGTCAAGTGGACATTTTTGAGTAAAAACAGGATACAATCCAATGTATAATATTCTTTGGAAATGCCATCTTTACCAGGACTGGAAAAATTAACAAAAATAAGAAAAAAATCTATTACAAGAGTAGCATTTTCATCAAAATTCCAAACAAAAACAGAAAGTTCCTGTCTGAATTTTGGGGATGAGAGTTATTATTTACATCTTTTGTTGTCATTAGCAACAATGTTTCAGCCTTTGTAACCTCCAGCCTTCATCAAGTGTATATTGATTTGCATAACCTACAGGAAATTCCAAACTGAACACTTTATTTAATCTACATGGGTAGATTGTTCTTGTTCCAATGCTCGTATCTAGGGATATCTTGTCTAGTTCTTAAACAGGGCAAGCAAAAACTAAACTGTACTGAGAATAAGAACAAAACACTCACAAGAACAAGAGAAAAATTTAACTTTAAGAAAGTCACAAAAAGAGATTCAAGAAAAAATTAAAAGAGTAATAAGCAAATTGACCAGCAAGAAAATATTTAAAGAATCTGTTGTTGTGAATGTAAATAGAGAAAAGATACAAAAGATTAAGAACAATGGCTAAAATAAACACACAAATGCAAGTAAATACTGCTTATTTAAATGATACATGTACATTCGGCAAAGAAATACATGAAAACTGATTTATAAACAGTAAATTTTAATGATGAATGTAGAGCTACATTGGATCAATCTGATGGCTGTGTTCGAGATTTGGCTCTTCATGGAAACAGTCAACCAACACAACTTAAAAGACAATAGTGAAATGGTGGATTAATATTTAGGGTTAGTATTATAGGCAGCAAAATATAAGGTCTCTTCAAAGTTGATAATTGTATCAAGTTATGCAAAGAAATATTCTAAGTTCTTGAACAAGATGCTTTTTTGAGTGCTCCGGTTCACAACCAAGAAGTTTTATGTTAAAAAGTTTATTCATGCAAGATAATGATCCTTCACATTCTGCAAAGCTGGTTATCTGCTCCTAAAGAACCAAATTAATTTTCTTGCACACCTCTTGACAAACTATTATCAAAAGAGATGTACAGGAAAATGGAAAACAATATTCAAGCAAAGAATATTTTTGTGAAGCAATAAAAACTGCTACAGGTAATAGAATGCAAAGCAACCTATACTTATATATAAAATAATAAAATACATGTAACCATAAGTTCTATGCTAACAATTTCTTTTCTCACTTGTGGAACTCTTGCACAGGCAAATGTGATCTTCAAAAATTTAAATGTAATATCAATAATTATTGTCTGTTTTCTTAATTCCTGTTTTATTATTGTTCTCACTTCTTAATAATGTTTTTCTTATATTCTTTCATACTCAGTAACTACCAGTATCTTATCTTGCTTTAGGGTGAAATGATTAAAAAAAATTTGACTAAATAATTATAATTGAAGTCTAGAAAAGCAGTAGCTTAAACTAACAAGTGCTTGAATAACATATTTAAGAGACAGACCAGTGTTATTAGTACCTATATCAAAGAAAGGGGGATTTTGACAGATAACTACTGTAGAATCACATTAACCATCAAAGCAGCAAAAATCTATGACAAAGTATTTCAAAGGACAGAATTAAACCATATCTGGATCATTAAATCATAAGACAACCGAAACATCTTTTGTACAGTTCAATATTATTGCAAATTCTCACACTAAAAAGATTTATAGAAAATAATTGCAATATTCATTTTTGTCAAGTTTAGTAAAGCATACATAGAGAAAAATACAAGCAAAGATTGTAAATGCTATCCACATATTATACCAAAACACTGAAGCTCAGATATTAAATCCAGATAACAAATCCAGAATTCTTTAAAATACTCACAAGTGTTCTCCAAGGCAAAACACTTGTACCATTTTTGTTCATTATAAGTCTGGCCAATACACTTTGACAAAAAACACATTGGTTTTACCCTAACAATTCAAAACACCTGTCACCTGATTACAAACATCAAAGATACCAACTTTGCAAACAATCTTGCATAAATCTCAAATTACTTAGAGCAAGCACAACTTCTCTTTCTCCAACTCAAAGTTACAGCAGAAGTGATAAGATGACATGAAAATTTCAAGAAAACTGACTATGTTAAACAATCAAGCAGATGGTGAACTTATCATATTAGAAAGAAATAATCTGAAACAAGAAGACAGCTTCAAGTAGCGCGGGTGCTTGGATTCAGTCAAGTGAAAAGCATATGGAGACCAGAATTGGACAAGCCTGGGTCACACTAAATAAAATAGAAAGAGTATGAATGTCGGTTACCCAAAACTGCAAATAAGTTTCTTTCAAACCGAAGTAGAAAAGCATGATGCTCTATGGCACTGAAAGCATAACTTTAACCTTTAGCACTCTGCATTATTTATTTACTTCTCTTTCCACTGCATTCTTTTTCAAAGCTTCTCAATTGCAGTATCCTTATTGCTAATTTCACTCAAAGTTGTTTTCTGTAGCCATAGCAGGATATGACAACACAACTATGAAATCCAAACAAATTCAAAGATCAGAGTCAACTTCAGGTGCAAGATAAACTTTCTGCACAAAATTAAGTTACATACAGTGTGATAAAGGATAACAAAGAAGATGGGAAAATCTACTGAAAATATAAGACATAAACAAAGCATCTGAAATTTTTTTATAGCCTATGTTGTCAATTATAAAGTTGGCATTTGAAGTCAGATTTTGTAATTGACCTCTGACAGACTGTGTTAAATTACTTTCAGCAGAGAATACATGCAACCTATGAGCATTTCCAATGTGGACTTGGAGAATAGAGCCAAGTGGAAATTTGTGGTTTTTGAACCCCAGGAATGATTTTCAGCTCAATTATGAAACTGTTTTAATGTTATTTCTGTTTAGAGAAAGATTAAAACAAAACTTTCACATTTCTAATTTATAAAAAAAAGAAAAAAAAAAAAAAAGGATTTAAGTCTAGATAGAAACCTTGGTCTGCAGTAAAGAGCCAGAATTCCCCAAAAGAGCTTAAATTTTGCATTTATCTCATTAGACTTCTTCTGGTTGGATTTTCAGTGCCAAAAATGGATTAAGCCCCACACCCCACCATGTATGTTTGATGCTGATCATTTCTCATTGGTATGCGTCTGGGTTACTACTTATAATTTTAGCCTGTGTTATAGGCATTGAATGATCCTTTTCTTCACACTGTATAGATGGCAGGAATTGAAGTTGAGATATTATTCGATGAAGGTGGACTTGTTATATATCGATGTTTTGAATCCATTCTCTGTGCGAGTTATGAGTACATCCAGGAATGTTAGTTGAAATATTTTTCTTCTTTCCTTGTGCACTGGATCAAAGGTTTTATTGTGTTCAAATGGTCTAGCAGTATTTGTACAGCTTCTTGGTGTGGCCAGAGTATGAAGGTGCCATCTATGTATTTCAGCCATACTGTTGACTTTACTGATGTCATTTCTAAAGTCATTTAAGTCAAAGTATTCTGTGTATATGTTTGCATCACTGGTGACAATGTTAAACCCATAGCCAAGCCTTCCTCCTGTTGGTATATATCCGACTCTAGTGGGAAGAATTTTGTCTGTACAGAGCATGTCAATATTTCCATCAGATTATCTATTGGAATGTTAATATGTTCTCTCAGAGAGGGGTTCAATCGGTTTCAAACCACTGTCAGGGCCTCATCTGTAGGAACTCTGTTGAACAGTTTTACCACATCCAAGCTTACCATTCAATTGTTTGGATCAATTTCACTATATGCTCTGTGTTTCTAACATAGGACGAGGACTACCTTGTTAGTGAGTTGACTATATCCACTAGAAATCTGCTCAGCAGGTGGCATGCTGAACCCCTGCTGCTATAGGTTTCAATGGAATATCAATTTTATGAATCTTGGAGAGACCATACATGTGCGGCAGCTTACCCCCTTATAGATTAAATAAAGGGCTCTGTTTGGAATTCCCTATACGTTACCCTGATCAATATACACCTGAGGAAGGCCAGAGAGCACAACAGATGAAACATTGTGATAAAAACAAAGATGACAACAATAGTCCAAATATAAATAATGTAAATAATGATAACTTCTCATCCCAGAAATTCAGACAAAAATATATTAGTTCTTCAAGATAAAATAGTCAATTGTTTTGAAGGAAAACAATTTTTAAATCAAAACAAAAGGATTTTTCTAAATGTTTGTTATATAATCTGTGATTTAAATAATTACAAGTAGACCCAGAATATTAAAAAATAAATATGTATTATGCTCAAAATTTATTTTAAGAAAAAAACATTTTATTTATTCCAATTGGAAAAATAAAACTGTGAATATGATAGGCTTCTTTAGTAAATAAATATCTAGAAAATTAAAAACAGTTAACTTTCTAAATTTAAAAAAAAAATCCCATAACATAGATGCATGGTTAGTAGTATTAATAACAAACATTTAAAAAAAAAAAAAAAAAAAAAAAAGTAAGCAAAAAACAATTTATACATGTTTAGTGTTCTTTTATGAAAATTATATGATACGGGAGTGCTGAAAATTTCTCAGCCCAACCAACTTCCCAAAATCTGTGCATTATTTTGTCACTGGAGTTGATATGAATGTTCTTTTATATTGTAAAGTGCCAATTTGTAGGATATTTTCACTTAATTTTTTCATTTGTTTCAGATCATTGACTGAATCAAAACTGTGGCATTTTCAAGTATTGAATTCCAGTTTTGTCTTGAAGTTCCTATTTCTACAGAAGAAAAATTCCAAAGAAAATCTAAGTATGTATGATGCAAACATTCACTGACAAGTGTCTGTCATACTTCTGGCGTGGAGATTTCCAGACCCCCTGATGCAGGACTGGTCCCTAAGTGATTGCCAAAACATTTGAATGTCAACTGGAAACAAATCAAATAGACACTGACAAATTAACTTTGCAGCATTTCCAGCAAACTAGTGATCACTTTTTGGAATTACTTGTTATTGATGAAACATGGTTTCACTCCTATGAAGCAAAGATTAAACAAAATTTCATGTAATCCAAAGGAATTTAAAGCCCAAAAGTCAACTGACAATAAATAATATTG